TGGAATGGGGACATATCTGATCATTGGGTTTTATTATTGTTAATAATTTTCTTCAAAAGGCACGTTGCTAATACAATGCCTCACCAATACGATTTTGTGGCCCTCCCTACATGTTGAAATTAGGATTTGTACTGTTTTTAGTGCTCTAGTAAAATCCATTGTGGCTATTATGGAGGTTTCTATGTTTGGTTAAATGTTTCTTTCACTCACTAATATATCAGCTGAATCCTTAATTGTTTTACCAGGACGCCACTATAATTTTTTAATATGATACCGTTACATTTTTCCCGTCAATACGTCATAGGAGTAATTAAATATTTTATTAACAATTTTATATTTTATCCTCTGAGGAATATGATTTCAACACTTTATATAGTGGTGGGTAGGACTGAAGCATATGCCAACTCTAAATAATGTATAGTGGTCCAGCAAAGTAAACCATAAACTGTTGGTTTTTTTTCTTCTAAAGGGTGTGAACTAGAAAAGGAGGAGACATCTATTGGATTACACTTCTTCACCTCTATAAACTTAAAAGTTTGACCTCGTTTGTACATACATGGAAAATCCGAAAACTTTAACTCTCTTTTCTACATTGTTGCATTATATTTTTTCAAAATAGCATACGTTTGAAGTGTGATTTGCTTCGTTTGTTGAGTTAACCGAAGTTCTGTGATTTGTAGTGCCACTATCATAGAATAGTTATTCCGTTCTATCTTGGGAGGAATTAATTAATCCAAAACCTTGGGCAACAATGAGAGAATTAAATTCTTTAAGGATACACAAGCAACTTGTGAGCTCGAAATTATTTTTATATTTATTTATTGAATTAACGTTTCTTTACTTATTTAATTTTCTGGTTTCGAACACAGATTACTACCATAAACAAATCTTCGTAAACTCAGTATCAAAATCACAGTAAACATTTTACTTTTAATAAGTAATAGTAGGAGTAACTTTTACGATATAGACTTTAAAATTTCTTCACAGAAACAATATATATTATTAAAATAATGGCAAGAGAATTAATTCGTTTCAATCAAAAGGAATGTATTCATGTGGACAGTGGATCAGAATTCAAATTGCTTTTACGAATCAGTTCTTTCGTCACTAAGACATATCTTAAACACTTGAGCACTAATTCAAGAAACATTTTGAATATGCTATATCAAAAAAGCTGCAAGAAACCTTTCTCGATATTCTTTTATTGCTCTCTTTTGGCATAGTTTTCATATTTCAAAGGTTATTTCATTGGACGAGGCTTCAATCGGGTATTAGTGATAGTGAAAAAATATTACATCAATATCTTTTGTTTAATTTTTTAAATTACTTAGGGGAGGGTGAAGGCGAAAGGGGAAAGAGAAAGCTAAAATTACGCTACTTACGAGGTTGAACCTCCACCTCAACTACTCAAGCAAGACCAATATTTTAATCTATGATTACAGGTCGAATAAATAGATGAACATTTATTTTTGATGATCCACTCTCATTAATCAATACAAAGGCTTTTGTTCTTATGAAGATACTCAATGAAGTCATCTATGTATATATCACTTAAATCTCTATTTCCAAATATTTTTCTCATTTCATTTGCTTTCTCCCAATAGATTTTTCCCTTCTCATCATTCATCACCAATTTGAGTGACTCAGCCACTGAGTTCCGAGTCAAAGACCCATCCTTTTCATTTCTTGAAATTTCTAAACCCACCATTTTTTCTTCCAAACCTCTAGCATTTAGTGCTTGATCTCCCAAAAAAGGTAACATAACAAGGGGTTTTCCAAATTTAAGTCCTTCTATAATAGAACCCCAACCACAATGAGTCAAAAAAACACCTACTGAGTCATGTTCCAATATCCTGAGTTGCGGAGCCCAACTCGTCCAAACTATACCTCGATTTTTGGTACGTTCCTCAAAACCTTCGGGTAATTTTAACAATAAAAAATCATGTTGTTTCCTTAGAGCCCAGAAAAATGGCAACCCGGATAGCTCCAACCCATGAGCTAACTCAGTGAGTTCCTCTTGACTCGGAGTTGCCTCCGTTCCTAGGGCTACGTAAACAACTGACTTTTCACGTTGCATGGCTAACCAATTATTAATAAAACCCCATGCATCCCTTTTGTTACCTTCCGTATCTTGTACGGAAGGTGGCAATAGGCCAACTGGTACGACAGGTTTCTGATGAAGCTGTGGAAGAAGATCTAGCCATTCTCTCTCTAACTCGTTACAACTACGTACAAGAAACACGTCACAATCGGAGACTGATGCCCTAAATCGATGCCAATCGGAGACGCCTGAAATGTTTTCTTGTCCATGGCCAAAAAACCTGTTGAAAATTTAAGTAGAATATGAACAATTGGACTAAAGAGCAAAGAGAAAGTCGAAAACTAACTTGCTAACGCCATAGAAAAAAAATACGTGAACACGCCTGTTTATTGACTTGCATAGTTGCCTTTAACCGGGCTACCCATAGTTGTATTTCAGAGGCTCCTGCAGAAATGTAGGATAAGACTACGTAGTTCGACCCTTCTACGAGTCCCATAACATAGCGGGAACTTAGTTCACCGGACTGCCCACGGTCGCATTGAATCGAAAAATTCTCAACTACGAGGAAAATTTAAGCACTTATTCTATTCTTATTTTGACTAACAATTTGTGGAAAATAGGAATTGCTTTACCAAATAAAAAGGAAAGGAAAAACTTTGAATTATTATTCAATATTACCTGTTTATTTCATAGAGACGGAATGCTATATTGGATGGAAAAGGGATCCATTTTGGTGGAACGGTGAAATCCTCAGGCTTGGTCCGTTGAACATTACCATCAATTATGTCTTTTGCAGGACCAAAAAATACACTAGACCATGCATTAAACGTGCTAAAGAAAGCACATGAAATTCCGAGTTTACCCGCGATTGGGGGCAACCAATAAGGGGTAAAATCGTAAATGATCCAATCGGGGACTGAGTCTACGAGGATCTGAGTCAACTCGGATTCGAGCCCATCAAAGGCTTTCTTGAGGTATTGAACCTTGTCAAGTGGTACATCTTTTGTGGCCTCTGCGTTTTCTGGTAGACCTTTGGTTAAAGGTAGAGAAAGATTAACAAAATGTATGGAGTAATTTAACTTTTGAGAAAGTTTTGGGAGTCGATCGATATTTCTAGAAGTTGAAATGTAGGAAACTTTGTGACCCTTACGTGCAATTTGCTTAGCAAGTTCGAAAAATGGAATTAAGTGGCCAAAAGCTAACCATGGGAATAACACAACATGAAGCTTCTTAGTTTCAGTCATGGTGTGTATTGCTGTGAAATAAATTTGTTGTTTCTATAGTTTATGTAGCAGCATAACCCTGTACTAAATTAGTTTAATATTCATTTTTTTTTTATTGAGATGATGGTGAATACTATGTCCTGTTCTTGTTATAAAATTGCCAATTATTTTCATAAAAGACATGTTACATACATTGAGTGAATTTGTCTTTTTCTATTAGGCTGAAAAGAAGAATATTCGGTAATAATAATACTTAATTGAGGTTTTCATAATCGTTATATTTTCTGTTCTAAAAAATGTGATTTTCTCCGGTTGTTATTATCTAGAGGAAACCTAGTTTACATTGAAATCCCAGTTTATATTCGAAATATTTCCTTCAATAGTTTCATAAATAAAGCTTTCCCTACGCCGTCCACATTAATTCATGTGGGTAAAAACTTATTTGTGCTTGATGTTTACACTAAACAAATACATGCAACTCGACTATTTTATTGGGTACTTAATATCTCTCACTAATACAAATCTCGAATATCTCTGCTAGCCAAGGTTCAAATAAAGAAATCACTTAATGCGAGTAGCTTTTTTTGGTTTATAAAGAATATGTTGGGTTAAGCTAGTCCAAAGTTATACTCAGTATTTTAAAAGGTGTGGGCGTAAGGCGGGGCGTTTTACATATGCCTCAGCGAGGCGTAAGCCCCATAGGTATTTAATTTTTAATATNTTCCATCCCCACAAAAAACTAGTCAAAACAATCTATTATACGCTACTTACAAGCAATGTTTTAAAAGGCGGGGCGTTTTACTTAATATGGGGCGAGGCGTAAGCCTGGAGGCAGGGGGTGGGGGGAAGTAAGCCCCGTGGATCTTTAAAAGTTTTAATTTATAAATTAATAAAATAACATAATAACACAAAAAAAAATATAAAATATAAATTAAAAGTTAAAAATTAAAAGAAAATTAAAGGAACCCATAGAAAAAAAAATCTATCATGATTCTTAAGTATAACTAATGCATAAATCACGTATAACGTCTTAACTTTTAAATAATTAAAAAATTATAATTTCTTTAAAAAAATTTATCAAACTCCACATTTTACCTTTCTAAAAATAAATAATTAATAAATCTTATTAGTACGATAATTAAAATATTACTCCTTCATGAATAAATACAAATTAGTTTAAGATATCAAATTAATAAAAATGTATAACAAGGAGGGACAAATGAACTAAGACACGACCAATAACAAGTGAAGATATAAATTCGCAATACTATGTCTCATTATTAGAGTTATGCTCAATCTTCATATTTCTATCGATGAATAGAACTTTTATCATTAATTTGTTAAAGAATTTTGAAGGTTAACGATATTAATTGGGAAATTCGACAAGTGATTTGTGTTAGAACTATTAGGCTAGCCCCGAGCATTGGGCGTTAGGCGTGTTTAGCGCGCACGGTCGGACGTTTGGGGCGTAAGCCTCACAGAACTAAGCCCCATACATGAGTCCCAGAGCGTTTTGTAAGTGCCCCGCCCAAGGATGAGCCCCGGACGAATCCCAAAAATACCTTTTAAAATACTGATTACGCTTAACATAATATGATACCGTCCAATTTGAATCAACATCACATGTTTCCGGAAGACTATATGCTATTATGAACCACAAAGATTATTATTCGTACGTAAGCGGGAAATAAAAATACCATCAACCGATACAATGAAACAGAGAGATCTAAAATAAATTTCCATCCCTAGCTTTTGGCCATATGGTTCCATACTTAAAAGACCAGTTTGACCATAGATTTTGTCAAAATAAATTTGAATTTTATTTGGTAAATACATGTTTGGACATAGATTTTGATTACATTTTGGTCAGATCCCAAATTTCAAAATCATTTTTGGGCCAACATATTACTATTATATTTTTTAAAAATTGCCCAAACTTTTGTATTTTATAAAAGAGCCCATCATTTATTATTTTGTAACGATGTTGCTTCATCTTCTCGGTCATCTGATAGTGTATCATGTAGTTCATTATAAAAATGATAATTTTGTATCAAATTTATTTATATTCAGGACTATGGTTTGCGATAATATAATGAATGTTATTGATAATGATACTGTTGAGTATTTGTGATAGTTTTTAGAACTTGTGGGTATAAGTAATGTTTCATGTTTTTCCAAATCAAACTTCACCCAAAACAGATGTCCAAACATATTTTCATAACTTTATCCAAATTAAATTTTTCTGAATAAATTTGAGAATCTATGGTCACGCTAGTTTAGAATTATCAAAACTCATTGCTCAAAGAGGTCACAAAATCTCCTTCATTTCAACCCCAAGAAACATTAATCGTCTCCCAAAACTTCCTCCAAATCTCGTCCCGTTCACAAATTTCATCAAATTTCCTATGCCCCAAATCGAAAATCTACTAAAAAATACAGAAGCCACAACTGATGTTCCTTATGAACAAGTCAAGTACCTCAAAATTGCTCAAGGCGGACTTAAACAATCCATGTCTGAATTTCTCAAAGATTCAACTCCTGATTTTATACCCTTCGATTTTACTTCTTACTGGATTCCTTCAATTGCTAAAAAATTTAATATTTCGACGGCTTATTTCAGCATATTTATCGCCGCGTTTCTGGGTTTTACCGGACCCCTACCTGGACTGAAAAACGACTATGAAATTCGGAAGACAGCTGAAGAGTACATTGTTCCTCCAAAGTGGGTCCCATTTGAGGCAACTGTTGCTTGGAAATTGTTTGAGGTTTTACCTATGTTTGACGCACCCATGAGCGGAGATGAAGAGAATATGTCTGATATTTTGCTTGTACGGAGTTGTTCAGAATTTGAGCCAGAATGGTTGAAAGTTTTGGAGGATATTCACCAGAAACCGGTTTTTCCGATAGGGCAACTTCCAACGACGTCGTATGAAGATGATAGTACGACGATTGATGCATGGAGATGGGTCATTCACTCATGAGTCGTGACTCAGTAGCTGGTATTAGAAAAATAATGCAATCATTAGCTTTTTCGCATTACTTAATTATACATAGAGATGGTAAAATGGTTAAAAGAAAATAGGTAATCACCCATATTATCCACTAAAAAATAGGTTGGATAATGAACTTTTTAAAAATAGATCAAATATGGATAAGAATCATATTATCCATTTAGAAAATGGATACCTAATGAGTTTGTTTCTTTTACATTTGTAAAGCTTCAAATTGGAGGTTCCTCAAGTTTGGGAGACTAGGAATTCTTTCAAATGTGATCATATTCATGAAGTCGGGTCAGATAATTTATCCATTTTTTATTATCCGTTTTGACCCGTCCCATATCCGACCTGACCTGCCCGTTTACCACCCCTAGTTATACATCATACTTGATATTATTTTATGTATAAGCAATGCATAGAAAATCATGACATTTGTAATGCAAGGGTTTTTAATATTTGCATAAATATTATTAAGGACCTAATTGCCCCCTCAAATCCCTAAAAACCCATCTCAAATGCTTTCCCCCGTATTATTAGCAAACAGACATCTCTCCGTACACTTTGGCCATGGAAAAGCACAGGTGAATGCAGCTAAATCATCTTTTTCATTTTCCTCTACAGAGATCTAAGTCACGTGTACAGGTAAAAGAATCTTCAGTGATTTTGTTCTTTTTTCCCCTTTTGAACGACTCATGGAGTGAAGGCACTAACTACTGAGTTTCTTTATTTGTTGGGGGTGTGTTTCTATATTCAAGAACTAATATTTGAAATATTTTGTAAAATTAGTTCTTAGGTCTGGTAATTTCGTTTCTGGTGCTTCCTTTTGAAATGGTTTGTTCTTTAATCATTGTTTGCTTTTGTAAACATCCAATTTTTTAAAAATTATACAATGCTTTAATACACCAAACCAAACAGTAAAAAAATAATAATTTCAATAGAACTAATGACATCATAACTAATGCCAGTATTTCTAATACCAGCATTACTAATACACTCTATTCAGCACTATTCTTATACTGCCTACCAAACTACCTTCGGTGAGATTGGTACTTGTTGAGGAAGAGGGTAAGATTTATCGTGAGAAGGTTAAAGAGGTAAAACAACTTTTTTGTGACAAGGAAAGACAAGATAGCTATGTGGAGAATTTGTTATGTTATCTTCAAAATCATAGAAAGACTAAAATATGAAACGGGCTGGGGAGAAAAATTTGGGTTGCGTCTACCTATTGTGTCACCTGGGTTATTTCGTCGAATATGTTATTTCCCGCTAAAGATTTATGATTTAAATCTTGATCTCAAAAATTTGCATTCTTTTCTATCACTAGATCAAACTCTTATATGTGCTTCTTTTTATTGCTTATATATGCTATTATGATAGTAAACCTAATGTATTGAAGAACTGCATAAAGGCTGCTTTGAATTTTCTTTGAATGGTGGTTTGGTTTACGAACGTACCAGTTATGTAATGTTAGGTATAATGGAGCGAAGTTAATGAAACAAAAGGAAATATTGAGGGGGTCTCAATATTACGAAATTGAGCAAAGAAGGAAATTAAAAACAAAGACTGTCATACAAATGACTCCATTCTAGATTTATTTTAACCTTAGTTGAGAAGACTAGAATTTCATTTAAAACATCATGAAAATCCACAATAGTAACGTACGCAGTACGCAATGTAATCTCATAAATGGAGTCTGTGGAGTGTAGTGTATACGTAAATCTTACATCCGCCTTCACAAGCCAGATATAAAGACTATATTCGATAGATCATCGGCTCAAGAAAAACATAATCACAACGGTTATAAAAATTAAATAGGAAGCTATGGGAAGAGAAGAACATCATGACAATAAATTGGATAAAAATAGTAAGTAATTTACTAAAAGCATTAAGCTAGCTCTCTTTGCTGGGTGTTATGTCACCATTTTCTTTCTCGATTTCTCTATGCTTTTGCATATATTTCATCAAATTATCAACATATTTTTCTTGTTTTCCCTTATCAGCAAACAATTCTCTCATATTTTTAGCATTTTCTCTATACACTTTTCCTCCTTCCTCTAACATAACCAAACTCAGTGAGTTAGCGACCGAGTCCCTCGTAAACGTCCCTTCTCTTTCATCTCTCGGTATAGAATACGCCATCTTTTTCTCCTCTAATAACCGAGCATTTAAACCTTGATCAGACAAAAATGGCAACAAAATAAGAGCCTTTTCATAAGATAAAGCTTCAACTACTGAACTCCAACCCGAATGAGTCAAGAATCCACCGACCGAGTCATGACTCAGTATCTTTAATTGTGGGGCCCATCCTGTGCACACCATTCCACGGTCATTGGTCCGTTCTTCAAACCCTTCTGGTAACTCGATTAAATCAGTGTCAAATTCACCGCGTTGCTTTCTTAGAACCCAAAAGAACGGTAATCCTGAAAGTTCTAACCCGTGAGCTATCTCGGTGAGTTCTTCTTGACTCGGTTTTGCCTCACTCCCAAATGCAACATAAATCACTGATCCTTTTTCTTGCGAGTCAAGCCATTGTTTTATAGTACTCCCTCCTGATTTATTTTATACAACAATGCATGTTTGAATGAGTAACGGTTCAAAAAGATTGACACTATTACTATTTGGGAAGTCTACCAGATTGTTCTTTGACCACATTTTTCTTAAATATTTTATAGATATTTTAAATTATGAATTATTATGGCTTAGGAGTAATACTTTTTATGTAGTTTTCAAAAATATAAATTTTATTTTCAAAAGCTTGAAGACTCTATGTCAAAATTCACAGTCAAAATTAAGTACTTTGACCCTCGTATTCCAAACTATTCTATTATGCTAGTGGTTGCTATAACTATGAGAGAATATTCTTGTGGTAGTTCATGCAAGAAAAGCGTTATTTATATAAGAAAGTCATTTTTTGGTATTTAATTAGCAGAAAATAATTTTCAAGGAAAAGTGATTTATATTGGGGGAGAAGTCATTTCCCTTCAAATGCATAATAATATCAACTATGTTCTAATTAATCATTAATTAGCTATTATTGTCAAATTTTAGTGCTAAATATTTCATCAAAACACTTTTCGATTTGCTATTAGTAGTAATCTTTAATCCACATTATGTTCGAAAAATATTTTCGCTCACAATCAAGTAGTAGAAAATATTTTTCAGGGGAATTTTTTGTTTTGTTTTTAAAGTATATATTTAAAGATAAAATAAAAAGGTTAAAGTTCTAAAAATGTGTACGGTGTACCTGTCCATACACCATTGCTTTCATCGTCGCAATTGTCAATGGTCAACGGCGAAAGCTGACCTACTGGAAAGACCGGTTTCCGGTGAATCTGTTCGACCAAATGTAACCATTCCGGTTCAAATTCCGAGCAGCTTCGATTGAGCAAAACATCACAACTCTTTATACCAGCACCAAACCGGTAAATATCAGATGCTTCAGACATATTACCGGTAAAACTATCTTTCATCCTTAAAACCTCGTACAATCGAAAAGCTACCGTTGTAGGAAAATTCACCCATTTTGGTGAAGCTGTAAGAACTTTGAGTTCATCTAAGGTACCATAGCCAGACATTAAAACCGGCGCCGGTCCAAGAAAGCCTAACACGGCGGCGATCATAATAGAGAAAAAAGCACTTGAAATATTAAGTTCAGTGGCAATTGGGCCGGCCCAATAAGCTGCGAAATCGAAGAAAATCCAGTCCGGTTTATTAGTTTGAAGAAAATGACGAATAGAATCGCGCAGGGCGTCGTAAGCTATTTTTAGATACTGGACTTTCTCGTAGGGTAAGTCAGTGGTAGCTTCAGCGTCTTTTGGTAGATTTTCTACTGGTTGAAGTGGGATTTTCACGAAACGTATAAAAGGTGAT